TCTTCTCCGAATGAACCCTGGCACACATCTCACTGTTTTCATCCAGAGAACCTTCCTTGCTCTTTCCTTTGTTATGCTCCAAACATGTAGGCCTAAACCGAAATCCAGCTCTCATGTCCTGCTTGAAGCAATGCGCAACCTTGGTCTTGAGAACATCCGGTAAAATATAGCCACAACTGTGACTGCATGCGTCACAATAGTGGGCTATATCACAAAGTGTCAACTTTGCGTACTTGTCTATCCATATGACAATCTTCTGCGAGCTCTTACTTTCTGAATTTGCTGTCTTGATCTTCAACCCAACCACAGATTGTTTTTGTCCTCGTTTGCCCAGTGTCTTCCGCTTAGGGAAACTGTATCTACAGTCACCAGAGAGAGCACAGCGGGAACCTTGGACAGCTCTTCTCAGAGCCCCTTCTGAGCCAGCAAGTCCAGTGGGGCTTTTATCAGTGTCTGCAAGTGGAAACAAAAACTCATCAGATAGTGTAAAACTGAATGAAACACTTGCTGTTATTATATATAGGCAGGGATGTTAGCTAGACATGCATTTGTCAAACCAACTAGTCAGTCCTCACCCTCGATGTCTTTTCCCTGTATAAATGAAAAGTTTACTGTTACAGTTTGAAAGCACTTCCATTTAAGCACCAGTTTCACCAGAGTACTGTTTCTCCAAGCAGGTTTTCCAGTATGGCACTGTCTTGGCCTCATTTTGGTGCACCAAGTCATGATGGCTAATTGCTGTCCATTACTGTGTGCTATACTGCAAGAAACACTGCATCTAGGCTACAGCTGTTCAAAACCACAGAAGTATGGGTGTTTCTTTCTCCTCATGAGACACATGGAGCAGCAGTGAGTCTCATGCTTTACTGGAAATGTTCTCCAACAGTGTTTTGGTTTTTCAAGAAATAAAATCTTATTAAGAATGTCAAGTCTGGCAATAAAGGCTACCTAGGATTGACTTCCCCACTTCTCCGGCCCAACAGAGCTACTCCAATGTTTACACCAGTACACAATTTTACCTCAGTGTGACTGGTTTAATAGAGAACTGGTAAAGATTACATCACCCAGGTGGAAACATATAAAATTTAACTTTTTCCCGTTATTATTATATAGCTAGCAACCACATGAATCGGTTTGGTAAATCCAGCTCACTGTGGTGAACTGGCAGCTACCGTCCGTTGACCCGAAGGGGTTCGCTCTTTGTTAACTGCAATTAATTTACATCTTATTAAAACAATCAAAGAATATCCGCATAATAACTGCTTTTCTTATTCCTTGGCATTACATTTAAACACCGCCTGCATTTCAGGTGGTTAAAGTTAGGTCAGTAAAGACAGGGCTTAGCCGCGCCGTTAGCTTAGCATCTGACACGTTCCATCCATCTCAGTTAACCAAAGGTTAGCTCTACGTTTGGCCTACCAGAAGATCGGTCATTTAAAAAAATATATGCGCAGGCGAATCAACCGTAATAAAGTAATCAACCTAAAGTGCACCTTACTTGACAATCGGGTGGAAACTGACGGTGTTTCCGTTAGCACCTGTCTTCTCTTTGCAGCAGTAGGTTGAAGATCACACACAATGCACCTGGCCTTCACTTGGCTCTGCCCCTCTTTAATCTTGTCCCTGCACCTTTTAGAAACCCGACCAGCAAAGGTTTCACAATTAATAACTCCTTGATTGAGTTTGCATCTTGTGCCAGACGATGTGTCCGCACCAGGCTTTGGATCCGAGAGTGTCTTGCCTGTAGCCTTTGGGGGGGCACTGCCCAGTCCCATTTCACAAGGCCTGCTGCAGATGTTACCTGTCGGTTTCACCGAGCAGTGGACCAAATCAGTGTAAACGCAGCAAGTAATCCTCGGTGTGAGGTTGGAACTTTTTCTGAGGCGGTCCCACCTGCACCTGTTCCTAGTGTTTGGTTTGCTCTGCTGATACTTGCCTCTAGTGTGCGGCCCCTCCTGTTTTGACTCTTTCTCACTCCATGACTGAAAAAAGGTTTTCTTATTTATTTTCTGCTTACCTATGCAATTCACCTCTGTGGCTCCTTCAGACACGGTACTGGTCGTATCTAGCACATTTTCAGAGCCTGTTTGGTCTGTTAAAAATTTTTGGACAAATTCGCTGATACTGCGGTCGTGGGCAGTGTCTTTCACTGAAATTACTTCAGAAAAGTGTTTTTCCATTTGGTCTGAGTTAGTGGCAACATTGCACAACTTTGGCAGTGGCCTACGTCTCGGCACCAGACTTAGCTTGAGCACTTCTTTTAATGGGACTCGGTTTCTTTTACATGGCACCATGCTGACAATTAAAACAACGACTATCAAAAGTAACAAAATAATATTGTCTTAACCTATTCATATAAAAAAGTACTGTTAAAATTAGTTCTCCGTAACGGTGACAAAACTATTTCCGACCTTGGTGCATCTCTTTATCTGCTGCTCCTAAAAACTACAAATGGACACTGGCCTGGAACGAAAGGCGTACTGTCAGCACTGCGCATGCGCAATTTGTTTACCAAAGCGCATATATAT